GAAATAGCACTGGATGGCGTCCATATCTGTGGACTGGACAGCCTCACATCTTGCGCCACTGAAGTCACCAATAGGGTTTTCTTACAATTAAATAAAAAGTTACCTGGCCAGTGCCCTCCTGAAGCCTTGGTTGTTGTAATTTAAACAATTTTTAAGTTTTGTTGACATAATTTGCATATCACATAATTCAGTGGTTTAAACCTACTAAAAAAGAGTCTTGCAATCATTGCCACAATTAATTTTAGAACATATACTTCCTTGTTGTACTCATCATTGTTCGCTCTCCATTTCCCCAGCCTCCCCTGCCATCACCCTAAAAACTGTCCATTCAGTGACTGTCTCTGTAGATTGACCCCGACTGGTCAGTGTCATCGAAAGAAAAGCCTACAGAAAACAAAACCCAACAAGAAGAACGCAGACAATAAGAACAACTCAAACCTATTGTCAGTGGGTCGAAAGGGAGAACTAGTGATACCGCCTCACATCGAGTGAATGCATTAGTCCATTTTGGGGGCATCGGTCTACTTGGTCAGTGTCTTCGGAAGACTTCCGGGGTGCCGCCCCTCAGCGGGCTGAAGCCCAGCCTCCTCCACACCACCTGCAAGCGCTCTGTGCTTGGAGACGCTGGCGCCACTTTCCTTTCCTCCCCACATCACCTGAGATACCCCCGAACCTGAATGCCGGCCCCCACAACCACGTGCGCCATTGCCCTGGAGGCTGGGGAGCCCCCGAACTTGAGGGTGGACTCTTGGGGGAAGGGTGGTGACTGCTGTTGGGATGATGGAGCAGGGTAGCATTTTGGAAAGGTTGGACATCTGGGGCATCTTTAACCGCACGCTCATTGGAACAGCCTCGGGCTGAGCTTTACCAGCCAGCCCCCCGCCGTGGCCCTCACTCTGCGCCTGTGCCAATTCCCCCTCCAGCTCCACGCGAGGGTCTTCTTTGCCCACCCGCAGCACTGCCCACCCGCAGCACCGTCTCACGGCACCCTGCTTTTGCCAGAACAGCGACCTCCTTCCGGAAGACACTTCCCTGCCCCTTTCCCGCCGACTGACTCGGGTGATTTTCCAGTTCTACTTCCACCTTCCTCAGAATCCACCTTCATAGATGTTACACGTGCCTGTGTGTTAGGTCAGATCTCCAGAAATTCAGATTCTGTGGCTCTGAGAAGTGGCCTTTCTAAGACAGCCCGGCCCAGGAGCCACTGGGGGGTCTGGAGGCTTGCTCGGCACTCTTAAGGGGCCTTTCTAGAGGGCCAGGGTCTAGAAGGCCACCTGGGCTGTCACTCTGGCTGCCACTGGACGTTGCGATGACTTGTGTGTGGGTGTGGGTGTGGGTGTGTGGGTTGGGGGGTTGCTCTTAGGGGATGACCAGCCCCCGAGGGCAGCCTAGGATGGGTGCCATCTGGGCCGGCTGGTCAGCTGCCATCACTTGGAGCCCCTCACACCGTATGTGACTGAACTGCCAGGCCCTCCAGTGCACATCTTCCTGGCTGGCCTCACCGAGCCCTTTTTCTGGCAAACAGCAGTTTTACTCACTCTGAGGAAGAGTTCAGCCAAGGTCAAGGATGGAAGCTGTCATTTTAAGAAGTGCTGTTGGCGCGTTCTTGTTTAGGCAAAGAGCAAGGTCTGCCCTCTGTTCAGCTCATCTTCTGAATGTAGACTGACAGGAGAACGAGGGGTGAAGTGCCTGTCTTCCCCCACTGGCTTTTGAGGCAGATCTGAGATTTTCGCAGGAACATACATAGCTCACTCTCTCCTGGCCCCCTGCTGCTCTGAGACCTGTCGGGGCGTGTCTGCAGTAGAACCGGAAGTATCTCTGCTTCCTGCCCTCCTGATTCGCCCCCTCCTAGCGGACAGCAGCGCTCCCCAACACTGCCCGCTGGTCACTGGTGAGTGACCGTGCTGTGTGTGTGCCCGTGGTCAATACTGCCATGCGTCCACATAGACTGCACCACCGGAGGCTCTCTCCCCTCGCCGGAAGCACTCACAGGAAGCCCCTGACTTATAACGGGGTGCCCTCGTGTTGACTCTGCCCCAAGTCAGTTTTGACATAAGTCGAATACCCTTTGGGGGGGGGGGTTGTTTTCATTATTACAGACTTTTACTGTTGGTATCGTTATAAACCCAATCTTTGAATGTCAGTGCGTGAACATCTGTGAATGATAACATCAGCAAAGTACACATTGCAACCTTCTGCATGGCCCATATTACTGATAAGACAGACAGAAGAAACTCCAAGAAACAGCTTGTGAGTGCAGGTGGTCAGCCCTCGAATAGGGTGGGAGCGATGTGTACAGACGTATTTCAAGTACTTGCTCCTGTGAACATGACTGTGATTGGAGGAGCTGGTGAGTCTGAAATGTGTAGGAGCTGGTGCCGGGTAACTGATGGTAGAAGTCAACCTCACGAAGTACTGTTGTAACAGCAGCATTTCACTCGTGTGTGATTGCGGGACTCGGCCCTGTAGCCCAGGAGCCCTGGTGAACACTAGTTAGAGTTCTCCGCTGTTAACTGCGAAGGAGCAGGTTAAAACCATCAGCCTCTCTGGGAGAAAGGCGTGCTATCAAGCACCCATAAGGATGGACAGCCTAGGCCCTCTGATGCAGTCCTGCTCTCTCCAGTAGGGTGGCCCTCGGTCAGAACGGACTGATGACAGTGGGTGTGGTTTCGGTTTATAGCCCAGTTAACACACAAAATTACCCATCATCGTCTTCTTCCCCAAATAACTCTCCTGTCCCACCTTAGCCTCTCCTGAAAGGATGGCTCCTTCCGTTCCATGATTCCAGACCAAAAAAGATCTTTTCCTGCCAGCTCAAGCATTCCATGATTACACGGTATAAGGCCAGTAAAATTTCTGGGCCCCTTATTAGTTGGGTCTTCTTTTTACGTTATACATCAGGCCTTTTGAAATTTTGAGCTTCTCTGTGGCTATTAATTCTATTGAGGAAATGATGGAGCTGGGGGGAAAGAGGAGGAGGAAGGGAGCAGAGACAAGTCAAGAGTAATCGTCTGAAATCCCACAGCAAGCATGGCTTATGAAGATCAAGTTGTATTTCTGCTTCATGAATCATTGTCAGACAAATTAAGAACATATTGTTTCTTATTTATCTATTGTCAAGGATGCAATATCAGGCATTGAAAATAAATCTTGATTTTCATAAGCTCAGTTGACACCATGGCGCCATAAAGCATAAAACTTGCTTCTAATAAAGAAAGTGCGATGTGGAACAGCAGGGAGTGGAATGCCAGCAAAACTCAGAGCCTCCTTCTGCCCTTAGCCCTGTCTGTAGAACGGCATCCTAGCAGGAAGGAATTTTGCTTTTTCAAGTAGACCAGGGATTTGTGGTATCTGTTGTCAGAAAACTTCTCGCCGTCGGGGCAGGATCTCCCCCAGATCTTAGAGTCTGGGTATAACTTTGTTCAGTTTGGGTTGGGGGAGTTCCTTCCGGCTGGGGCCCTGTCCGTTACACTTTTGTGTCTACCTTCCTCCCCCAGCCTTCCCTCCAGCTTCTCCGTCACTCAGGGTGACCCCATAGCCGTCAGAGGAGCATGGTGCTCCATCGGGCTTTTCATGGCTACTTTTTGGTAACAGATTGCCAGAGCTTTCTAATAAGGTGCCTCTAGGTCAGGGCTGGAGGAGAACATCCGGCCCGCCCGCCATGTTAAGACCAAAGAAATCGTAAATTCAGCTAACATCACATGCCTCTCCACAGAGAAGCCGTTTCAGCCAGTACGTGAGGGGTAAGTTAAACGTTAGACCAGTTTGGCCGGAGAATGATGTTATAAATATCCACATGGCCCTTGGTGGGGGAAAAAAGCCCAACACCCCTGCTGTAGGTGAACGCCCGCCTGCAACCTTTCAGCTAACAGCCACTACTGTGTTAACTCGGAACCAATTGCTCCACCTTCTTCTGGGTGCCCACCACCCTACTCTTGTTGGAGGAGCGCCCTCTACAGTGGACTGAATGTAGTCATTCTGGGGGGTGTGGGGTGTGTGTGTGAGGCTTCCGGTTTCTACTCGGATAGCTTTGGAGGGCGCTGTCTGAAACTCCTAGGGGAAATTCTTGTTTGGAGTGCCTGAGGTTGAAATATGAATGTTACCGTTTAATTTGGGTCATGATAAGGGAGCGCCGTGTGGACAGACTAAGACACCCAGGATGTTGCTGCTGTTAGGTAGTCCAAGTCAGCCACCAGCTCATAGTCACCCTGCGTCCAACATGCCCCATCCTGCGAGGCTCTCCCGTCTGTGCAGCTGCTCTGGATGTGCTGAGGGGCCTTCAAAACGTTCGTGGGAAAACGGAACCGAAAGATAATGGAATGTTCCCACAAAACTTTTGGAGCAGCAACAAAAGAATGTGAATCTCAAAGATAATAATTTAAAAAGCAAATAAACTATTGAAATCCTTAAATCACACGAAGACTTCACTTCTTCAGGTCCCACAATAACTACATCTATGTCCTGAATCATGAAGTTCTGGACTTAAAAAAGTCAAAAGTTCCTTATAAACGACTGTCTAGTAGCAGCAGACCGAATCTCTGTGCCTGGTGGGGATTGTGGGAACTGATGGCAATGGCATGGGGAGCGCGTTCAGGGTGACAGAAATTCATAAGGCTGTCCAACCCCTCTATCGATACACTCACATGTTTTAATTGTATGTGGCTTATGCGTCAGTAAAATTAATTCTAAGAACGTTCCTTCCTGTCGTAGCATTAAACTTCCAGAAGCTGTGATTTTTAACCCTTGAGCAGCAGCCCCTCCTAAAGGGCTCCCTGGTACTGAGCAAGGGAACAAACTATATGTCAATTTGGCAAGTCCAGAATAGCAGCAAAGTGCCTGTAAGGAGAAGCCAGAAGCGTGCAGAGCACTTCCCTGCAGCACAAGGGCAATGCCTGGCACGTCCAACTTTGACTCCTGGGGGCCCTGCCAGGAGACCGTCTCGGGCCAGCTGGGCCCAACAGTGACACTCTCTCTGAACTTACTCCATGTCTTCCGAGCAGTTGCTGCGGAGCTCTCTGGTGAACAACCGGACCCAAGCCAAGGTGGCCGAGGAGCTCGGCATGCAGGAGTACGCCATAACCAACGACAAGACCAAGAGGCCCGTGGCCCTCAGGACCAAGACCTTGGCCGACCTTTTGGAATGTGAGTCAGCAGCACAGGAAGCCCTTTCTCCGGCCCACAGACTCGAGATCGAAATCCAGCCTGCCCCCACTTCATGCTTCTCGTGACCCTCACGTTCCGCCCAAAGAGACCTCTTTTCTCCTAGCATGTGTATGTATGCTTTCGCCAGCGCTTGTTCGGAGAAGAGGCACGTGGAATGTGGACACATGAATCATGAATCCTAGACTCAGTCAGGGGTTCGGTAGAAACCACCCACCCCCAGACCCTCATCCCACCCCAGCCCTCAGCTCTGTTTGTGTAAAGCGGTAACAGAATGGCCATTGTTCATAATGGCTGGGAAATCAGGGGGGGCGGCTGATTTCCCATAGCGGGCACAGAAGAAAGAAAGGTAATCTATTCACTATTAAAGTCATTATCCATTGTTTTCAGTGAGCTGAAAGCACTATGGACAAATGCCATTTTCACTGTTTCTAAATTGGTCTCGACACCTACTAAATCATTTATTATAGCTAACTAAAGAATTCCATTCCTTGTAATAAACATGCCAGCCACCAGGCCTTAGAACTTTCTCCCCTTCTTTTGGAATGTTATGACATTATGTGCAAATATTAAGGGCGTCCCTCTAAAGTCAGCTCATTTACGAAACGCAAAGGCAGCCCAGCCGGCACTTGAAACAGTGTGTTTTGAACTAAAGATAGACGTTTTTCAAAGAATAAGGTGAAAAAAAATTCATTGAGCTGCTAGATGATCTCTGGTTATTTATTTACTTACTTGTTTACGTATTTATTTTAACTCCATCAAAGTTATTTTTATTCCTGCTTTAAAATAAAGAACAGAGAACTGGCCACTCACTGGATGTTAGTGAATCTGATGACCTTACCCTGGGGAGTCACCCTTGACTTAGGCAGAGTGGGCTCTGTTTTGATCATGGTTCTTAAAGCCCTTCTCTGGTGGGCCCGTTGGGCCTGTAGATCAGCGTGGAAGCCCCATTAAGGGATGACTTCCTCCAGACTGACACTGAGGGCGGTGCCACACGGCCGGGCCATCCTGGAGCCTCATTGGGCCTTCTGGTTGTCTGTTGGTTTGTTCGATTTTAACATGGCCTCTTTCTCTGCTCTCGGGCCATTTCCTTCTGCAAACTGTCCATTCTGCCCTGGTTAGTGTAGTGGGTTACACATTGGGCTGCTAACTGCAAGGTCAGCAGTTCGAAACCAGAAACAGCACTCTTTAAGGGAGAAAGATGGAACATCCAAGTCCCATAAGTAGTTACAGCTTCGGTAACCCGCAGGGGCAGTTCTGCCCTGTCCTGTCGGGTCACCGTGAGTCCAGCTTCACTCGATGGCAGTGTTTGGTTTTGACTCTTTCTGTTAAATGGCATTGGGTCATGGTTTATGTTCTCTTTTTATATCTCTCCCCCAACCCCCAACACAACAGCATTCATTGCCGCACTCTACATTGATAAGGATTTGGAGTATGTTCACACCTTCATGAACGTCTGCTTCTTCCCACGGTTAAAAGTAAGTCCAGCTAGCGTGTAAATTGGTGGCATGCTCTGTGGTTGGTGATTGCAGGACGCATTACTGAATACCTTTTGGGGACTTTCTGCAGGAGTTCATTTTGAATCAGGACTGGAACGACCCCAAATCCCAGCTTCAGCAGTGTTGCCTGACACTTAGGACGGAAGGAAAGGAGCCAGACATCCCTCTGTACAAGTAAGTGCCCCTCCCCACAGACAGCGGGGGTGGGGGGTGGGGGTGGGGTGTCAGCGGCGCCGACATGGGCCAGGCTAGATGTCCTCTGGGCACCTTCCACCACCTCTCCTCTCCTCTGCTACTTGTGCCTGGAGAAGGACACGTGTAGATTTTGAGATCAAGATAGAAATTTGGATCAAATTGATTTTATACAGACTTTAAAAATTATTCTGATGAAATATATAAGACAACCTTTTTGCCATTTTGACTTTTTAAAGTGTGTATTCAGTGCCTGAGGGAGGCGCACCAGGTGACATGCATTTCTGTATTTGTTTTCTGTCTCTCTAACCTCCGTCCCGATGAGAAGGCCGGAGCAGTCTGGTGTCTCCTCCTGCTCTCGGCCTCTGTCTCTGGGGCTTGCGAGCTGTGCTCCCTGGGGTGCTCCGTCAGCCTTGGGGCGCGGTGTGTCAGGCTGCTAACCCTGAAGCTGGTCGTACAAACCCACCAGCTGCTGCTCAGGAGAGAGATCCATGACCCCAATTCTACCTTACAGATCCGGCTGGACCAGAGCATGTGCACTGGTACAGATCAGAGCTGGAAACACAGAGAATCCAGGACAGATAAACCCCTCGGGACCAATAATGAGAATAGCAGTACCAGGAAAGAAAAGGGGAACCAATCACAATGATCAATAAATAACCCCCTCCCACAGGGGCGAACAACAAAAAAGTGGGTGAAGGGGAGACATTGGTCAGTGTAAGACATGGGGGGGGGGGAAATATATATATATATACACACCCACACCCACACACATATAACTTATCAAGGGTTCGTGAGGGGAGCGGTGGGAGGGGAAAATGGGCTGATACCAAGGGCTCAGGTAGAAAGAAAATGTTTTGAAAATGATGATGGCGACATATGTGCAAATGTGCTTGACACAGTGGATGAATTGTGATAAGAGCTGTATGAGCCCCCGTAAACTGATTTAAAAAAAAAAGATTTACAGCCCCGGGCGCCCCACGGAGCCATCCCGGGGGTCGAGCCGGGTTGCTGTGCATCGGAGCAGACTTAGCAGCAGAGCTTGGCTTGTTGGTTTCAGGTGGTCGCTGTAGGAAGGTGTGTTGCCGAAATGTCAGGGGCTTTTCCCCTCCGCATCGGCACCAGTGGCTGCCACCTACTTTGGGTCTCTGTCCTCGGATTGTAGTAGCAGCAGGTGCCACAGTGAAGGCCACTCCCCCCGCCGTGGAGCAGGCCTTGGTGCCGGCAGGAGGTCTGGCGCTGGCCAAAGAGTGGTTCCCCGGAGACACTGGGCAGCTGGTTTTCAGAGAGGCGATCCAAAGCAGAAGGGTGATTAAAACGGCAGGTCACCTCCCCAGGTATTGTGTCTGGAGGGTGACTTTAAATATGTTTGAACAATCTAATTTCGAGCCTGTGGCCTCTCGCCTGTGCACACAGAGGGTGCAAACCCACGTGTGTGCGCTGGCCATCTGCAGCCCAGCGCCCCCTGTGGACTCCTTGGATGGCCGAATGCTGGAGGAAAACACCAGCCGGCCAGCTGGGGGTTTTAAGCCCTTTTTCGTGTTTCCATTTAACCGCCACGGCACTTTATAGGCTCCCCATCCCCCCCAAAAGAAAACTAAGGCCCGAGACTGGCCCAGGCAAAGGTTAAGTCACCCCACAGCAAATTGCCCCCAGGGGCCCTTCCTGCCTTTATTTCCTGGGGAAACCCAAATGCTTGGAAATAGCAGTGTAGTTTGCTCTAATAAGCATAATGACCCTCTAAATATGAAAAGATCAAAGTATTTCCTCATCAAAGGGGTAATTAAGGTTCAGTAAGTAAAGCGAGGACAATCAACTTCCCTGATCACTACAATCAGTGCTCCACAGCTAAGCTGGGGTCCTGGTTCCTCCCCACCACCCCATGTCGTTCCAGACACACAAAGGAAATGACTCTTCCCCTCCTCCCAAGTCCCCACATGAGCAGGCACCAGGAGCTTGCCCTGTGCATCAAGATGCTGGGGTGGTTGTGCCTGCCCTTTTAGATCTCTTTAAGATGGCCATGTTCCTCGCCTTATCTCTGTGGGCTTCTTTTCATTTCCCTTTTGCGTGAAGTTATCAGTTTTCCTGCATTTGAAATCTGCACCTCATCCTTACAACTCCAGGATGGGGTGTCGCTTGGGGGCATTGTAGCGCACTCTGGCGTGTCCTCGGATATTTCCAAAACGAAATGCATTTTCTGATCGTCCAGGTAAGATACCAGACTGCGCTTTGAAAACCAGGCCCGCTGGAGGTGTACGACTCCAGAGGGCGGTTGCTTTTAGCTGTGATTAGTTAGCACCAAAACCAAAACAAAACGGAGGGCAGACCGCAGCCGTTGACTCTCCCCTGATAAAAGTGTGTAATTTTATGGTCCTTGGAACATGCACACGTAGGACCTTCTGAAACGTAGTTTTCACCTCCATGTTAACCTTCGGACATTCTTCATGTTGCTTTGGGCACAGCAAGAAAAAACAAAACTCTAACTGGAAAGTTTTAAGACAAATGCCCTAGGCCTGGTAGGGCTTGATCCAGAGTAATGTAACCAAGAGGGCTTGATTACTGAAACCCAAATGAAGGCTGAACATGATAGTGGGACAAGAGTAAAGTACAAGGAAATAGAGGAAAGAACTAGGAGGCAAAGGGCATTTATAGAAGTCTAAATACAGGCATGTACATATGTAAATATATTTGTATGTGATGATGGGGGAAAGATTTATGTACACATGTTTATAGGTTTAGTATTAAGGTAGCAGATGCACCTTGGGCCTCCACTCAAGTACTCCCTCAATGCAAGAACATTTTGTTCTATTAACCTGGCATTCCATTATGTTCACCTTCCCAACACAATTGCTGAAGACAAAAGTGGGTGAATAAGCAAATGTGGTGAAGAAAGCTGATGGTGCCCGACTATCAAAAGATATAGCATCTGGGGTCTTAAAGGCTTGAAGGTAAACAAGCGGCCATCTAGCTCAGAAGCAACAAAGCCCACATGGAAGAAGCACACCGGCCTGTGTGCTCATGAGTGAGGTGTCCATAGCATCAGGTATCAGGCATCAAAGACCCAGAATAAAAAACTCATATCATTGTGAATGAGGGGGAGTGCAGAGTGGAGACCCAAAGCCCATCTGTAGGCAATTGGACATCCCCTTACAGAAGGGCCGTTAGGGAGGATATGAGCCAATCAGGGTGCAGTATAGCACCAATGAAACATACAACTTTCCTCTGGTTCTTTAATGTCTGCCCCACCCCCTCCACTATCATGACCCCAATTATACCTTACAAATCTGGATAGACCAGAGCATGTACCCGGGTACAGATAAGAGCTGGAAACACAGGGAATCCAGGACAGATAAACCCCTCAGGACTAATATTGAGAATAGCCATACCAGGAGGGGAAGGGGAAGGTGGGGGAAGAAAGGGGGAATGGATCACAATGATCTACATATAACCCCCTCCCAGAGGGATGGACAACAGAAAAGTGGGTGAAAAACATGAAAAAATAATAATTTATAATTTATCAAGGGTTCATGAGGGAGGGAAGGTGGGAGAGGGAGGGGGGAAAAATAAGATGCCTGATACCAAGGGCTCAATAGAAAGAAAATGTTTTGAAAATGATGGTGGCAACAAGTGTACCAATGTGCTTGACACAATGGATGGATGCATGGATCGTGATAAGAGTTGTACGAGCCCCCAATAAAATGATTACAGAAGAAGAGTGTCCTACCTTAGAAGCTCCCTCCCTTTGCCTGGTTCAGCAATTATACGTGTATCCTGTTACTCCCCTGCCTCCCCCTCTTTTTCCTTACCTTCACCTTCTTCCGTCAAAGCAGTAAGTACCTGGGTTGCTGAGTCGGTCGTGTGTATGAGCAACGTCCGTGGAATAATCCTTCAGTCCTTCCCTTTCCCTCGCAGGACCCTGCAGACCGTGGGGCCATCCCATGCCCGGACCTACACGGTGGCCGTTTACTTCAAGGGAGAAAGAATAGGCTGCGGGAAAGGACCGAGGTATGAGACGCCTGTGAATGAATGTCCCTGGTGGCTGAGAGGCTCAAACTCTGCAGTCGTTTGCTTCTTACCCTCAGCATAGAGAATGTGTGAGCACAGTGGGGTACGGCTCCTCTCAATGATTGTCCTCCCCAAGTCCCCGGCCCCACACAGTGTGAGTGGCTATCTTGAGAAAGCCCCGATCCCTGGTGCACAGGTAAGCTCTGTCCGATTTCACTTGCCCACCAGAGTGCCAAGAATGTTAGCCTTCAACAAGACATGTGCAATGTGCCCTGGGCTGACCTCTGATCCCCAACTGCAGCTCCCTCGAGTGTGGTGGAAATGCTGACCTCTCAGGCCGGCAGAGTTCTCACCTTCCCCCTAGACCTTCGTCTGAGAAGCGATGTGAAATCTAGGTGTGCCCTCAGAAAGTTCATGCAAACATGCCGCTATCTTGTAACTCCATTTACCTATCGGTTTCGTGGAGCCCCTCCTGTGGGTGTGCGTGTCTGTGTGTGTGCACACATTATTCTTTGCCTCCTTAAACTTTACACTGCGGAGGTTACTCAGCCTTCAGTGAGACCTAGTGTGAAAGGAAGGCACTTTATTGCAATATTAAAAGTGTGGAACGAAAACCTTCACTAGGCTTTGTGCAAATACATGCAAGTTCTCCGTACGCCTCTAGATGTTCCGATCTGTGCAATTGAGTCCGTGACAGGAAGCAGATAAAATTGTATGCACTAAACATGAAAATCAGCCAGAATGGTTTGTAGCCACACCTCGTATTTTTTGAGAAAAAATGTGTAGATTAAAGTGCAGCTTATCTTTTCTTTTTTTTAAATAGCATTCAGCAAGCAGAAATGGGAGCCGCGATGGATGCACTTGAAAAATGTAAGCCTATCTCTTTTTCTATAATTATGTGTTTCTAATGTAGCGCGTGTTTTATGGGATGAAAATGAGGAAGTAGAAAAATGGGTGAGTACTGTAATATGTTTTCTTCTTAATTATTCTCCACATGCCGGTTTATAATTTTTTTTTTCAAAAAGAGTAATTAATTCCCTAGTATTTGGGGGTGTTCGTCTTCCCTTTTTTTTGCATAAAGCCCTACTTCCACCCCAGGTAGCCCACAGCAGCCCCATGGGACCTTGCGTGTTCCCTCGCTCCCTGCGGTCTCACACGGGAGGGAAGGGTGCCTGTGAAGCCGCCACCTTTTTCTTTCCTTTCCTTCTGTTTTTGGCTTTGTGCTGTTGACACGGGGTGATAGTTACATATTTCTGTGCTTGTTCTCTGCTCAGTAATACACCCACTCCTCACTTATCAACAATCTCGTTACCCAGCTGTAGGCATTTACAGCAATAGTAAAACGTCCCACCGCAGCTGTTTCGCGCATTAATGACACAGGCTTTGCAGTAGTGACCAGTGCCGCTGCAGTGTGAAGGAAAGTTAATGCCGGCAGGGAGGCTTGTGAGGGCTATGTGGCTCCTTGGCGGGGCCACGATTCTCAGTGGTTTGGCAGCCAGGTAATGATGTAACTTGCCCCTTATGCACCAATGCAATCATCTTCCGTTTTGTAATCTATTGTGATCATCCTCCATTTTAGCTTAACATCACTTGCACATGGTAACCTAGTCTCAGGGACCTAACCATGTCAATAAGTGGGAAGTGGGTGTGCCTCATAACCGTCTCCTGCCAGTCATTTGGAATAGTTTTCAACCGATTCTTTGTAATGGCTACTAATGATTATCTTGTGGATCTATTATCTTGTTTTCAGCTCTCTTTGTGATTGGTAGACACTTTCATTTCTGGCTTTTGATCACTGTAGAAAAGAAATGTGTACGTATTGAAACATGTATCTCTCTGGGATGAATCCCCAAGACTTATGGTTGAATTGAAGAAAGTCAAATTTGATCATTGCTGAAATAGGGAGGGGAGGGCATAGTCTTTTGTCAATTGAAGTGTTAGGCGTGGTAGGAATCCTCCCCTGCACCACAGCACCCGGAGGCAACACCTGACAGTGCGGTTGTTTCATGCTTCAGGCAGGCAGCCTCAGTCGCGGGGAGCTGAGTGTGGAAGTGGAGCGTGAAGAGGCTCCGGGTTCTCAGGCTTGGGAGAGGTTCCAGGGGAGGCGAAGGGGCCCAGAGCCAAGAGGAAATCAGCAGGCGTCCCCTCTCTAGTCAGCAGTAGAGCAGGCAGCAACGACGAGCTCTGAACCTGGCAGGACCAGCAGCCCTCTGTCCACCGCAACCTTCTGTGCCAGGGCCCAGCATCCACAGATGTGCCACTGGGAGTCTGAAGCTGACTCTGGGGGACTTTCTCACCCATTCGCTGTCAAAGCACCATCACACACTGAAATAGAAGGGAGGCTTCATTTTCCGCTTATGAAATTGTGAACGGTTATCTTCGTGTGTGTGTTTTAAAGTGGTCCTCTTTGGATAACTGAAAGAGTTCTCTAGCAGGCCCTTCACAGCGTGGAAGATGCAGCGGGTGTCATTGTGCTGGGAAGGCCAGTGGCCGGGTGGCTCAGGTCCTCACTGGGCTTCATGCCCTTTACTGCAGAGAGTGCACTGTTTGTGAATCAGACCTCGACAATAAATGGGAGACCAAGGGTTACAGACCCTGATGATCGTGGCATTATTTCTAATAGCAAAGGGTAGGGGGTGGGGGGGGGGGTTGAAAAATCTGCATGTTTAACCGCACTGTACAAAATTTACCAACCCACCAAGCCTGTTGCCATGGAGTGGCTGCAATGCACAGTGACCCCAGAGGTCAGATTCCCAAGGCTGTAATCTGCACAAAAGCAAACTGCTGGTGCTTTTTTGCCCCAGAGCCACTGGCGGTTCAAACTGCTGGCATCTCACTGCACTGTTGAGCACTTAGCCACTGCGCCACCAGGGCTCCATTTAAGTAAAGGGTGGTCTACCCTGGCAAAGACAGAGGCCTGGTAGCTTAACAAGTGCACATCGAGTTGATAACCCCAGCATCAGCAGTTCCACACGAAGAGAAGGCTTTCTACTTCCACAAAGAGTAAACAGTCTCCGAGACCTACCCTCTTTTCTGGGGTCGCTCTGAGTGGAAATACACTCAGTGGCAGTCAGGTTGGGGTGGTTTGAGGCCAGGCGATGGTAAACTTGGGTACAAATGGCCAGATAGTAAATATTTTCGTCTTTGTAGGAGACTTGTGTCCAACTACCCAAGTCTGCCCTTGTACTGTGGAGCAGCCACAGGCAACCTGTAAATGCACAGGGCTGTCTGCCTTCCAGTAAGACGGCATGTATGACATCCAGTAGAGTGGGCCCGGGTTTCCCCACTCAAATGGAACCACAGGCTGTCCTGTGTTGCAGCCATTAAAGCTGTGCTTTGAAAGACTAATGGTTTAGGGAATGCTGACAGTAGAGCAAATGAGAACGCATTGTGCCTGAGAGACGGGATGCTCTGATGTGACAGGGAGTGGTTGCGCGGCTCTGTGGATTGTTGAAATGTGTGTGCACTTACGTAGTGTGTGCCTTTGTGTGGAGAGACTTTACCACACGGGAAAAGGTTACAGAGTCAGAGTCTACAAGGCCACCAATGGTTAGATCTGAGAAGTGGGATTGTTCTTTTTCATACAACTCAATTCTATAATAGAATCTCGTAGGAAAGTCAGGTTCACTTTGTAGAAGCTTGCTTGAAAACGAACTTTTGCCTGATTTTTCTGATTGGTTTTTGGAAAGTACTCGAGGCCCCTGCGCTGCACAATGCATGAAGAGCGAACAGAGCATTATTTAGGGGATAGGGCTCTACTCCTGCTTTATTTCTAAATTGTAGGTCACTTTGTTTCGCTTGTTCAAAATCAATCCCCAAATCTTAGCTAGACAAGGTCTCTCCAGATGCTACCAGGTGCTTTTCTGGCCGCCCTGCCCTTCCCCGTCCTGGGGTAAGGAAGGGACATGCGATTAGAAAGGGGAAGAAAACAAGCATTCAGTCAGCGGCGATCGAGGGATCCACGTTGCCATGCTGAGCACAGAGTCAGACAAACTTGCTGCCCTTCGGAATGCCATTCTCCCCCCTCCAACCGCCGTCTCGGGGCCATGCTTCTGTGTCAGAGTCCCTTACCTCTGAGAGAGAACACAGCATGTTTGTGCTCCCTGAGTTATCAGGGTTCGTTTGTAGGCCTCACTCCTGCCAGCACCCCTCCTTGGCTCCTACAGCTTGAAAGGTGCTTGAATAAGGCGACCAGACGTCCCACTTTTGGCGGGACAGTCCCAATTTTTAACAATTTTTCCCGTGGCAATTTTAAATAGCCCCGATTTTTGGAAAGAAGGCATGACAAGCCAGGGTATACAGTTATCGGCTGCTACATGGCTATTTCACCAGGATATGAGTTTTATCAATGGTTTCCCGCTTTACCAATGTTAAAATCTGGTCACCTTACGCTTGAGTGAGCAGCAGGGAAGACTGGTGTGGGCTTAAGTCCTTCCTGCTGTCGCCACCAACTTCCCCCCCACAAGTGAGCGGGGAACCGAGCGATGTCTGGATCAAGATCCCCACTGTGCCAGCACTGTCATAGCAGCCGACGGCAGCTCAAAGTATAACACTGATCCGTCCGCGTCTCTTGCAGCCAAACGAAAGTGTTCTGCTTGCGTTGCCTGCTGTGGATCTAGCTCCCCGTAAACCTGACAGCCAGAGTGAGCTGAAGACAGTGACTGACTTACACGTCCTCTTACTTGCCTGATCTTTTCCCAAACTATGCAGCTCCCTTTGACCGGCTCCCTTACTCTTTTCCGGAAGCTGCCGCCTTGCTTGGGGAATGTGGCTGGAGCCCTCGAGAACCCTGGGTCTGCGTTGTACCCTCTTGCCTGGCTGGTGCCTTGGATGTTGGGCTCCCAGCAGCTCCTGCACTCTAGAATCCCGGGGGCCGATCCAGAACTCCCCTTGTGTTTCCCAAGGCCAGCAGAATTAAGGGAACAGGAAGAGATAAGTCCCCACCCCCATCCCACCCCACTCCTGCCTCTTCCTTAGAAAACCCAACTTCTGCAAACATTTCAGACAAGCACGTTTGTATGTGTATATGTTTAATCCTCGGCTTTTTTTTTTTTTGCACTAGTGGCTACCCTTCATTAAATATAAAATCTCTCTCCCTGTGTCAGATAACTTTCCCCAGATGGCTCATCAGAAGCGGTTCATTGAACGGAAGTACAGACAAGAGCTAAAGGAAATGCGGTGGGAAAGAGAACATCAAGAGAGGGAACCGGATGAGGCCGAGGACGTCAAGAAATGAAGACGGCCCCGAAGCGGCCCCGCTCCCTGGCCTCAGCCTGCCGGGTTTTCCTCGGGACGGGTGTCCCGGGACTAAACGCCAAGGCCTGGCTAGTGTGGTTCTGTCTAATGCTCAGTTTCCAACAGGTTGGTCTTCCCCAGAAAACATTTCATATCTCTCTCATTCAACTTCACCTTGGCGGATGCCCCTCGTCCCTCTGACTTTGCTCATTCAACGAACAACGTAAGAAAACAGCTTCTGTATGGAATAGATGCTTTTTTCTTTTTGTTGTTTTCCCTCCTGATCATGTTCTCTGACGGTGACCTCCGATTTCCGCCCGATCAGGGAAGCATTCATTTCACCCGATAGTTCGAAGAGGAGCCCTGGCGGCATGGCAGTTATGTGTTGGGCTGCTAACCAAAGTACAGCAGTTCGAACCCACCAGCCTATCAGCAGGAGAAACCGAAAGCTTTCTACTCCTGTGAAGAGTTAGTCTCAGAAACCCTGTCACCGGGGCAGTTCTACCCTGTCTTATGGGGTCGCTATGAGTTGGAATCGACTCCGTTTCAGTGAGCTTGGAAAAAAAATTTTTTGAGAGCTTTTCACGATACTCTATCAGATAGAGAGCTGTACCTTTTGAAATCTCTAATTATGGACTAGTTCTCGTTTTTAGCTTTTCTATGACTTGTGTCTCACGTCGTCTGCTGCAGATAATGAAATCGCCCCTCTGAAAGCAGCGAGCCTGTAGAGAATGAGTCACTGTAAGCTCAGGCCCATCCATTGAGCCCTGAAAGTCGGCCCACGCGCACGTCTAGGTCAGAGGACACTAAACCGGGCTGTCTCCCTGGGGCCAGGGGCCTTTGACGGTGCTTGCACACGGGCTATGGGGCACCTCCTGGAATTGTGTTCAATTCTGCTTGTGAAGTCGGGGAGGAGGGCGCTCGGGAAGAGTCTCAGGGTCATCGCATCCATCCTGCTTCTCAACGCGACCCTGCCCTCAAAGGCTAGCATGACATTAAAAGACATGACGTTTTTAAAATGATTTTTAAAACTGAACATGGCTGTTTGATTGCTTTTTTTTAAGTTTTATTGGCGCATAATTCACAATGTATTACAATTCAGTGGTTTAAATATATTAAAAAGAGTTGTGCAAGACTGCTTTCTTATTAATAAAGGCAAAACTTCTTTTTGAATTCAAATGTGTTTTCATTTATTACTTCAAATACATGGTGAGTGCCTGTTGTATAGAGGGTGCTACCCTCGATCCTGGGGCTGCAGCAGTGAGCCACCCATGAGAAAGCTCCCTGCCCCTGGGAGCTCATGTGCCGGAGCTGACACGGGCACCCATGACGAGCAAGCAAACCGTGGTGCAGGGTTTGGGGGGCAGGAGGGTGGGGGCAGAGTCTACCAAAAACTGAAGATGGGAGGTGGACAGCATTTCTGACTTGCATAACGCTGATTCATAAAACCAGGATGGTGCAGTGGTGGTGGTGCAGTGGTTACGCATTGGGCTGCAATCCCAATGACTGGCAGTTCCAAACCACCAGCAGCTCGGAGGGAGAAAGACTGGGCTTTGTACTCCCATAAACAGTTACCGTCTCAGAAACCCACAGAGGGTCACTATGAGTCAGCATTGACTTGATGGCAGTGAATTGGTTCTTTTAGTTATTTACAAGAACACTGTTGAGTTGACCCTTTTGAAGCTCCACATTCATGGATTTCGAGTCAATTCCTATGTAGAGCCTTATGAGACTTTTTTTTAATCCTATTGAATTTTATTCTTTATAATTTTGAATTGTTTTATTGATAAAATATTCACGTATCATACACTTCCATAGTTAAGTTGCTTTTAAAAAGAGTTGTATACACATCATCACAGTCAGCTCTAGTCCTCCCTCCCCCTTCTGCATTCATTATTTGCTCCCCAAACCCCTGCCCATAAACGATTGCATCAGTTATTGTCTATGCATCTACTCCTGTGCTTCATAAACTGGGAAAACCAATAAAAACAAAGAAATTAATAATAAAGATAAAAATTAAGAGTAAGAAAGAAAAGACCACCAGCAAAATTAAAATAAGCCAGAAAAGAAATTTCTGACTTGGAATGAGTGAGAAATATTTAAACCTAGAACAAATTCAGGTTGGGTCAAAAGGGTGGTCAACTGACCTGGTATCATGTTAAACTCTAATTCATCCACCATAAGTGAGTTTACTATAATCTGACAATACTGCCAGAGGCTTGATCTGACTAGGTACTTTAAAGATGGCTTTTGAGCTCCCACTGTCCTCCATAGCCTTCTACAAATTGGGTGTTCACAGGAGTAGAAGGCCTTTCTCCCAAGGGGCAGCCAGTGGTTTCAAACTGCTGACCTTGGTTAGTAACCCAATGCATAACCCACTATTCTACTAGGGTTCCTGATGACGTGTATGCCTATACATGCTTATATTGCCAACTCTGGACATAATAGAATGTGTGACCCCATCTGATGTGAGCTGTTAGTTGCCATTGTAACGCTGTCACATCCTCAAGAAAATGGTGTGCTCATGCACCAGGACCTCTCTCGAGTCTCTTGGTTTATTGATCATAAAGATAGAAGCCAATGCTTGTAAGCAAAGGCTGCCTGGAGAGGACTAGTAGGGCCACCCTGCCCCTGGAGGTGACAGCAGCATGGCTTTTCCATCATCACCCTCGGAGGAGCCCTGGTGGCACTGTCAGGTAAGCACTGAACCGCTAGGAGGAAGGTTGGTAGTTGAAACCCACCAGCTGCTCCACGGGAGAAGGATGAGGCTGGCTGCTTCCACAAAGATGTGCCGCCACGGCAGTTCTACATAGGGTCATTGTGAGTGGGAGGTCACACAGAGGCGGTGGACTTGGTTTGAACGGGGTGGCGCACTGGTTAAGTAAGCACTAGGAGGCTATCATAGGGCATGGGTTCTAACCCACCAGCATCTACGCCAGAAAAATGGGCCGGTCTATTGCTGCAAAGATTTCACCCTTGGAAAGTTCTACCCTGTCATAGGGGTGGCTATACACCAAGAACCTTCTTGACACCTTTTACCAACACTAAAAATATGGCAAATGCATGGCCATAGTAGCCAATTCTGACTCAGGCATCTACCAACAGCACCTTTTTATTAAGGGCTCTCAGAAGATCCCTGGGGCACAGTAGGTTACGCGTTGGGCTGCTAACCCCAAAGTCAGTAGTTCAAACCCACCAGCTTCTCTTTCCTAGGGAAAAAGATGAGGCTTTCAACTCTAAAGATTGACAGCCTCAGTAACCCATGGGGACAATTTGACCACTAGAAGTAAGCATCGGCTAGATGGCAGTGGGCCTGAGGGTGGTACAAGCCATTGACGACGAGCTGTGATAGTAAAAGCATCCAGTCCTCCCAGTGCTGGTGGCCTGCTTCCATAACATCACAGCCACAAGAGCCCTGTGGAGCATTGTCCCGTGTGATCCATGGGGTCACAGCCATCACCCGGGGCTGACAACAGCAGCTGCCGCTCCTCCTGCCCCCGTGGCGGCTTGCTCTGTGAGCAGTTTCTCAGCAGCAGATGGCAGGGGGCCTGGGAAGGAAAGCGTGCTGGATCCCTAGGGGGTCTCGGAAATGGTGTGAACAAAAACAGACGCAGGGAAGATTTTGAATATTTTCAAACCAGCACTCTCTCGTTTCATTAGTCTTGCGTGCCCAGTCAAAAAACGCTTGGGCCAACACACCTTCGGGGGAGGATTTGATGTCCCCTCCCTAGTACTATGGTGCTTTTCAGGGTCACTCTTCACATAAATGGCAGCCAACACCTGGAATTGTCCCCCTAAATGCCAGATGTGCAGTCCACCGGCAGGGCAGACTAGTTCCCAGGGCTCTGTGGGGCCACGCAGGGGCCAGGAGCTCCATGCTGGTGCTAACCTCCAGCACAGAGGCCGGCCCTGCCACCCCTTCAGAGGAGAGCAGCTCAGGGACGCAGCAGCCATTGCTGAGTGCAGGACCGCCACATGGAGGCTGAGCCCGAAGGTTTCCTCCTGTTGCTCCTTTGGGGAGATGGTGTGGCTGCAGAATGGGCCCTATTAGCCCGTGGCAGAGGGAAGAGGGAGGGCAGGCCAGAGAGGGAGAGCTTCCTGGAGGGGTTGACATGCTGAACCTGGAAAGAGCAGAGGGAGTTTGCCAGGTGAGAAGGACATTCTCTGCTGAGGTGAGTGACAGGACAGGGGATGGAGGTGAAAATGGGTTAGGAGTCTAATGTGATATGCAGGGTACATGTGAGGAGGCCTTAGAAACAGCACGGGAGACAGGGATGCTGGGGTAGGGAGCAGAATGGAAATCTACATGAGATTTCGAACTTAGCTATATTGGGCTCCTGTCTTAGGGCAAGCCTTGGCCAGCCAGGAAAGGGCAGGTGGCCCATCTGTTGGGGTGGCCAGGCAGTCATGGCAGGTGGCAGGAGAGAGCGTTTACACAGCGAACATAAAGCAGCAAAAGTGAAAAGCTTGCATTGAAACCCCAGACCTATTTGCATTTGCTCAGAGCCCGGGTGGCTCAGTGGTTACGAGTTGGACTGCAAACCACAAAGTCAGCAGTTTGAAACCACCAGCCACCCCAAGGGAGAATGATGAGGCTTTACTAGCCTGTAAAGAGTTATGGTCTCGGAAACCCACAGGGGCAGTTCTACCCTGTCCAATAGAGTCACTGTAAGTTGCAATTGACTCAGTGGTAGTGACTTTAACATTATGCCATATTTGCTTCACGTGCTACTGGCCCCCTAAAATATTTTAAAAACCAATTGCAGCATTGTAACTTTCACCTCTTCCATTTTCTATACATTTTCTAAAAAGGAGGTGTTTTATTTTGTATCCATAACATCTATGATGTTATGAACAGCTCGTTAATGCCCTTTTATGGTAGTTACATAATCTCATGTCAACTCGAAGATATATAAAACTGTCTGGGGGTTATTCAACCTGTCAATTAGGTCACCGCCTGATGGTGCCTCCTTTTGGGCGTGGCCTTCTCATAAGGAGAGACCTGGGAATCTTCCCCCCTCTCTCTGCTTTCAACTTCCTGCTGACTGAACCTAGTTGTTTCCAGAACTCTGGGGTGTTACTGGATACCACTACTGGATCCCCATGACTGTACCCCTGGCCTGTGATATTCCTGCATTCTGCATCATTGTATGTGGCTGTGTGAGTCTGAAGAGGGACTTAGGGATCGTATCAGACTTATGGACTTGAGTTGGACTGGGCTGGAATGTGTTCCTGATATGAAATTACTTCTTGATATAAAGCTCTTTCTCACACATATATGAGCATCACTGGATTTGTCTCTCTAGTCAACCTGGCCTCACATACCTCTCATAACTAGTTCCCGTTAAGATGTTCAGCTGGTTTGTTCAAATAATGATTCTAACCCACACGACTGCCGTTAGCTCTTTTGTCTCTTAAATC